TCGTCCTAGCCCCGCCCGACTATACCCCCATACCGAAGTAAGACTGAACGCCCCCATTCGCGTGGTGGGTTCTATCCTTATTGCGCACGATCGTTCGTCTTAGATCGGGCGGATGGTCATGGGAGGTGACCTACACGGGCAGGTCACCCCCCATATCCACCCGCCCGATTAGATGTGAGCTCGTCACATCCTGGTCAGCCCCTTTTATCGACACTTCCCCATCATCCATGTCAAAGAATCCGCTACAGTGCCTCCAGGCACGAAGTGGAATGTCTACAAGTTCCTGACAATTCTCTGGGTTGAAAATATTCCAAGGAACCCACAGCCTCGAGTCCGGGGTGCTAGCGGGCGCTCTCGGGCTTGTCGCATGTTCCGCCTTGACTTCTGCAAAGGCAAGAGGGCCTCCAGAGAGGCCGTCAAGAGGACCCCCAAGGCGCCCCAAGAGGGCTCCAAGATGCCCAAATGGTTAATTATCGTAGAAGGTTCTAAAATATTTTGAAATGCCAAGACGGCCCCAAAGGCTCCCACAATAGCACAAGAGGGCCCCACGAGGAACCCCAAGAGAGGCGCCAGAGGGGGGACACGACCTGGCATGTCGAGCCCTCCGCCTCAAGAGGATCCCCGAGGCCGCCAGAAAGCCCCCAAGAGGCCCCCCAGAAGCTCCAGGAGAGCCCCGAGAAGCCCAAATCAGGCCCTACGAGTCCACCGACAGGCACCCAAGGCGCCGAAAACCGCCTCAAAGAAGCTTCCGAGAGGCCTCCCAAGAAATCCCCACGAGCTTCCAATTCCCACCAGCCCTCTGGGTTCGGCGGCGAGCCTGGGAGGCAGCGAGAAGGGGCGGACCTTCTCAGAAGGCTCGGAAGTCCCCAAACCTTCCTGAGAACTATTCTGAGCCTTCCCCGAAGGCACGGGACACTTTTCAGAAGGCTGGAGGGCTTCAGAGAAGCCCCTCCGCCCTCTGAGAGGGCCTGCTCCCTCTCACTCTCCCACCTGGGCGCGCCGCCAAAAGGTGCTCTTGCCTTTAGGGAATGGGGGCCTTCAATTCACACTCCCTGAAGATTTTTGCGGGCCTCCGCGAGCCATCAGAGCGCTTAATTTGGCCCAAGATGACTCCGAGAGGAGCCCCAATGCTCCAAGAGATGCCCCAAACTAGCCGAAGATGGATTCCGACGTGCGAATAGCACTGGAGGGCTCCAAGTTCGCTTGGAGTCCTTGCAAGACTTCCCCCACAAGAAGAAATTCCTTCAAACAGAATGCGTAACGGCACATCTGTGTTTTGCCTTCTCGTCTTTTCGCTTCCGGTGGGCCTCCGAGGCTTCTGGCCCCACGATGGCCCAATAGAGTCCCAAAAGGGGCCCACAAGGCCCCCAGGACGGCCCCGAGAACGCCCAGGAACACTCCAACAAGCAGATTAGAAGGCTCCCGAGAGGGGGGCTGAAGGAAGGAACCTCTCTCTTTTGATCGATGCTCTACAAGATGGCCCCAAGAGTCCCCCCAGAGGCCCCCCAGAGCTGCCAAGAAACCCCCAACACCACCTAAGAGAGCCCCCAAAGGACCCCAAGACCATCCAACATGGCCCCAAGAGGGCCCCCGGGAGGCCGCGAGAGAGCCCCAAAAAGGACTCTAAGGGGGCCTCCAGCAGACCCCAAGACGGCTGCCAGAGTCTTCGTCGTCGTCATCCTCCTTCTCCTCGCCTTCGCACTCTTCCTCCTCGTCCTCCTTCTCGTCCACGTCCTCCTCCTCGTCCTGGGTCTCATCAATCTGATCCAGAGCTTGTTCCACTGCATGCTTTTGCACTGCCCTGATCAACACGACTCGCCTTGGCATTGCTTCTGGATGGGCCGGTTGGGATTCGCGACGCGTCATCATTTCCCTCACACTTCACAAGCCAAATCAACAATCTTGGTTCAATGCAAGCACCGTTCGGGGAATTACCTGCTACCTCGCCTAAACATCATGACGTCAATGTCCGCACCGTGACATCAACTTCCCCTTGTTTTGGGAACGTCGGACTTGGGTGTCATTGCCAGAGGTGTCAGCATGATTTACGTACGCATACGAGCCAGAATCATCCGTCCTTCAACGGCGGCCTAAAAGGAATAACAGTGCCAACACTTTCCAGTCGCCCAAGCCGCTGCGAGCGAGGCGCTGACGATGTGCTTTGAGAACTGGCGAAGAGAAGTGCTCTGTCAAAGGACTGTTGATGTCCGCGTCTTGTAAAGCAATCGGCAAGACATGGAAAAGCAAGCGAGGCATGCAACGTGAATGCTCACCGCGCGAGGGCGGCTTGGGAGATCTTCTGCCGACCCCTTGAAGGCGGCAGTAAGAGTCCGTGTGGAACAGGGCTAGCTGGCGCTACCATCTCACCAACGGCAGCCATCTTGAAGATGATACACTCACAAAACCTGCTGTAGACGCGCTGTTGAAGTACCGGCGTTGGGGGGATTTGCAGCAGAAAGAGTGATGGTGAGAGGCCGCCATGGCGCCGCCCAGTGAAACTTTCTCTCTGAGGTGGACCTGGGGGCCTACCTCAGCGCCGTCGACGACCTAGCACGCGACTTCATGAGCCTGCCGCCGATGCCAGCGAGGCGGGTCTGTCCCATCTGCGAGACGGCGCTCCGCTTGGCCGCGACGGGAGACCCGCGGATGACTCCCAGCTGTGGGATGACCTCGTCCTGAATCAGATGCATGATCTCCCTCTGCTCTCGCATGAGGACCAGCAAGTCCAAATTCCTCGCGTCACCCATCAGCCGTGACACCCCTGCAACCAACTCATCCGCCGTGAGCCTCCCGTCGCCGTCGGAGTCTACCAGCTGGAAGACGACCGCCGCGTCCTCCACGTCCAGGTCCATGGAGGCCAACCAGGTCTGCACGTCGGGCTCCCTCATGGTGGCCTGGAACTCCTCCACGTCTACCAAGCCGTCCCCGGACCCATCGGCGGCCTGGAACAGCCTCTCCATTTTCTCGGCGTGCGTCCTCACCATCCGCTCGCGCTGCCGGATCATGAGCTGGTCGTCCGTGGTGGCCACCTTGAACGTCTCCTGGATGAACACTCCGTTGATCCGCCGACCCCTTGGGGTCATCGGCGTGTGAGATGCCCCCCCCTCCCCAAGCCCCCCTCCCTCCTCCCCAAACCACCCCCCTCCCCCGGCGCCCGGTCCAGTCAGTTTGGAAGGGGGGGGGTCACCCGGGGGGTCCGGCCAGCCCCGGCTGAACGCGTTACGACCCTCACGACGGGCCATGAGGGCCCCAAGAGGCCTACAAGATGGTCCATGAGGCCCCGAGTTGCCGATGTTCCAAAACGCCCAAGATAGCCCCCAGACGGCCCAAGAGGCCCCCGAGACGCCCCAAGAGGCCCCCAAGAGGCGTCCCAAGAGGGCCCCCAGAAGCAACAATCGTCTCATTCCCTGAGGGAAACGTCTGATCTTGGCACGTTCGCCTCTTGGGCTTTCACAACGTCCAAAGAGGCCCAAAAGGCCTTCAAGATCGCCCCAAGACGGCCCAGGAAGCCCTCAAGAAGGCTCCAAGGAAGCCCTCAAGAAGGCTCCGAAGAAGCCCCTACTGGGCTCCAAGACGCCCACCAGATGCCCCAAAGAGGCCCCCAAAACGACCACCAAAGGCCTCAAAGGTGCTGCCAGGAGGCCCGCGAGAGATCTCCTAGGAGCCCCCCAAGGGGTCGGCGCTGCGGCGTAAGCTCAAGACTCACACCGGTCTTCCCGTGCTCTTTTTCGGGGGGGGCGGTCGTCGGGGGCTCGCGCGCATGCCGTCATGTTACAAACATCGGCCCGGCAGCGGGGGGGGATGGATGCCGCGGACAGCGCGGGCACAGCGCACCGCGAATTCGCCGATCCAAAGCGAGGCTCAGGAAAAGGCGAGAAACTCCCAGGAGGCCTCCAAGAGGCCCCCAAGAGGCTCCCAAAAGGCCCCGCGACGACGTGACTGTACGTGCTCCGGACGTGCACCCCGCGAAGCGAGAGGAATCACACCGATGACGGCAAAGCCTATGGTGAGCTTGTGGGCGATGAAAAATACCATGAACCACTCATTGACGAGCTCTGTCAACATCCGGCAAGGTTCTGGGAAGTCTGCTAAAGTGATCTCGAAGGTGGTCAAGATTGCCCTGGAAAATGATCCCCAATACGCGAACACCTCCCTGCGCTCGTCTACGGGGTAGTCGTCTTTGTCCAAGTACCAGTTGGCCAACACCGAATGAACAAAGAGCGCGACGATGATCTGAAATCCGCCTCCGTGCCCCCACGGACGAAGTGGCCATCACCATGCCTCCTCGAGTCCTCTGCGTCAAATGTTGTGACAGCCCTTGAGGGCCCCATGCCTCAGGTGCATGGGATTTCTAAGATGCCCCCCAGGAGGCGTCCAAGAGGCCTCCCAGGAGACCGCACGAGGCATCACGGAGGCCTCTTTGTCATGACCTGCTCCCTATTGCGTGACATGAATAAAAGAAACAGCGGAACACACTCCAGATTTCGTAATAAAAGGGAGGGGGTCTGGACCCTCCAAGACAAGCCATTTCAGACCTCCCCCGTGGGAGAACCCTCCAAAACATCGTCCCCAGACCCCCCAGGCCCTCCAAGATAGCCTGGAAGAGACCCCCCCCCGAAATGAGACCCCCCTCCCTTTATTACGAAATCTGGAGTACAGTCGGCCCAGATTAGTAGGTCGACCCTGCCAGCGCAAGGGTACCCTTGTGTCCTGTGCCTCGCGACACGTGCCTTCTTACACTCCTATGGCGATGTGGCCCCTGGAAGGGTCTTTTGTCCTCTCGCGTGTGCTGTCCGATGAAGTCCGACTGTAAACTGTCGGAGCTTCGCGCCGATGTCTTGGATCTGAGCTGGGCCCCCGTGGTGGCGCCTCCTGCACAGCCGCTGGCGCGCTCGTCGCGCCGGGGACGGGGGGTCCAGCGCCGATCCAAGGAACCCGCGCGGACCTCCAAACTCTTATGGTAGTGCCGCTGTTTCTTCTTCGAGATTACAGCCACGCGCGCGATCTTCGCGCGCGCTCAGGTTCTAGCAAGTTCTGGCTGTAGTCTCAAGTGTTCGGCGTCGGAGGACACATTGTGTCACACAGATCGTGACCCTCTAGGGAGCTCCACCGACGGCACCAAATACAGGCTTGGCTCAGCGTCCCCCCGCCAATGCTGGCATACCGCATCAAAGGGCTACGTCCCCAGAGACAGGGTTCGCATAGTGGCCCCCCCCTGACGCGGATCGTGTCCACCAAGTCACTGCACTTGGGCTACCAGAACGAAACTTTATAGCGTTGCCCGGATTACTTCAGCACACCTCTCACACGGGTCGAGGTCCGCAGGGAGTTCCATAGACAGTCCCAGAGGCAAGGCTCGTATGCTGCCCCCCGCCTCGTTCGGCACACCTCTCGCACGGATCGTGGCCCACAGCGATCTCCACCTATGGCCCCAGAGGCAGGGTTCGCATTGCGCCCCCCAACCCATTGCAGCACACCCTGTCACGAGGACCGTGCATAAAAGAAACACGACCTACGGGCCCAAGACAAAATTCGTACAACGCCCCTCCGCCCATGTCGGCACACCCGTCACCCGAATTGTGCCCCAGCAGGTGCTCCACCTATGGCACGAATGGGCAGTTTCGCATGGCGCCCCCCCGCTCATCTTCAATTTCAGAACATGCCTCGCACAGGTCGTGCCCGGAGTAGGTCCACCTGCGACTCAATGGGCGTGTTCGCGCGGGGCATCCACATTAATCGGCACATTCTTCACGCGGATCGTGCCCCACTAAGAATTCAGCCCATCCGTGCACGCAGATTCCGCAACAACCAGCTTTCTGAATTGTCCCGCGACGCGCCGTGTATGAAGAGAGACCCAAGCCTTCGGCCGATACCGCTACTGTGCCTGAATTTTGGTCCAGAGGATTCTCGGATGCCTGTGATCCGGGGTCTGTTGGCATGCTTCTCGGGCGCCTCGTGGAGCGACCTTTATGAAGGGGCCCCAGGACACACACACACACATAAATACACACAAATAAAACGATTCCCCATATTTTCCCATATTCTCTGGGTTTCTGTCTTCCCCCCCACTTCCCATATTTTCCAATATTTTCTGGGGAATCGAGGATTCATTGTGTCTGTGTGCTTCTTTTCCTCCCGACTTTAAGCCCACTGGGGGCTGTTTGGGGGCCTCTTGGGGCCTCTTGTGGAGCCCCTGGGGGGGCCTCTTGGGAGCCTGCCGGCGGCCCCCCGGGGCCCACGGGGAGCGGAGGGCTCGACATGTCAGTTGGGGCTCCCCCTCTGGGGCCACTCCCTCCTCCTCCTCCTCCTCCTCTCCTCCTCCTCCTCCTCCTCCTCCCTCCTCCTCCTCTCCTCCTCCTCCTCCTCCCTCCTCCCTCCTCCCTCCTCCTCCTCTTCCTCCTCCTCCTCTCTCCGCCTCCGCCTCCTCCTCCTCCTCCTCCTCCTCCTCCTCTTCCTCCTCCTCCTCTCCTCCTCCTCCTCCTCCTCCTCCTCCTCCTCCTCCTCCTCCTCCTCCTCCTCCTGGGGCCCTCGTGAGCACCTGGGCGCATCTTGGACCGTTTTGGGGCTCTCTTGGGGCCTCCTGGGCCGCTTCGGGGCGATTTGGTGGGCCTCTCGGGACGCTCTGGACGCTGCTCAGACCCAGAGTGCGAGCATGCAACAGATGTGTGCTGTCCCTCGGGGCTGTAACAAGTTTGGCTTCCTGGGGCCCTCTCCTGGAGCCTTCTGAGGACGTCTTCGGGGCCTCTTGAGCCATCTTGAAACAATATTCGGGCGTATTCGGCCCTGTCAGGCCGCCATGGCCGCTTGCTGGTGGCCTCTGGGCCTCCGAAACTGTTGTGAGCGGCGGCGGTAGGCCCGGAAGGCCCCGGAAGGGGTCCATAATTTCGCGGGTGGGCCAAAAGGGAAAGGGAATCCGGGAGGGTGTCCTGGCCCGTGCCCCAGGCCCCAAGTACCCCGGCATGTATGGAGCCCTTCCCGCGTCGTCTTGGGGGCCTCCTGGAGGCGAAACTCGGGGGTATCAGAAAATACGCCTAGATGCTCTGGAGGTGGCGGGCCTCGGGGCCGATGCACGGCTATCTGGACATACACATATATATAGAGAGAGAGAGAGAGAGAGAGAGAGAGCGTGATCCACCGCCGCTTTACTGTGGAAAATTGCCAACCTTTTCCTCCGGAGCCCGGGGGTCTCCCCCCCCTCCGAAAATCCCCCCCCCCCCCCCCCCTCTGCTGGACCCCCCCCCCCCCTCTCCCCCTTCCCCCCGGCAAAAACCTCCCCCCTCCCCTAACCCCTCCCCCCCCCCTCCCCCTCGAAAACCGGGGGGGGGTCACTACCGGTTCGAACTCCTCCACCCCCCCCCCTCCGGATCCGGAAAACCGGGGGGGGTCACTACCGGTTGGAACCCCCCCCCCCCTCGAAAACCGGAGGGGCGTCACTGCCGGTTCGACCCCCCCCCCACGCACCGCCAGCAAACGACTCCCGGTCCCTACCACCGCTCGCATCACATCCCCCACTGTTGTTCCCAGCACCACTGTCCTCACCACCACTGTCCCCACTGGTTCCACCACCGTCCCTATTGTCCACACCAGTGCCCCCACCACTGTCGCACTGTCCCCACTGTTCCCACCACTGTTCCCACCACGGTTCCACTCTCCCCACTGTCTCCACGGACCCAACCACTGCCTATCCCCACTGTCCCCACTGTCCCACTGACTCCTCCGCTGTCCCACTGAGCTGTCCCACTGTTCCCACCACTGTCCCCACTGTCCCCACCACTGTCCCCACTGTACCTCTGTCCCATTGTCCCACCGCCGTCCTCGCCACCGCCTTTACCACTGTCCCCACCACCATTGTACCCTCCACTATCCCACTGTTTCCACCTCATTCCCACTGTCCCACACCACTGTCCCCACCACCACCGTCCCCACCACTGTCCACTGTCCCCCCTGTTCCCACCATTGTCCCCACCACTGTCCCCACCACTACCGTCCCCACCACTGTCCCACTGTCCCACTGTCCCCACCACTGTCCCGCTGTCCCCTCACCACTGTCCCCGCCAACACCGTCCCCACCACTGTCCGCACCCCCACTCGGTTTTCGAGGGGGGGGGGGGTTCGAACCGGTAGTGACCCCCGCCCCTTTGCATGATGAACTGGGGGGGGGGGGAGGGGTTCGAACCGGTAGTGACCCCCCCCGGTTTTCCGCCAGCAGCGGTAGAACACGCTCTTTCATATATATATATATATATATATACTAGTGTGGACCCGTGGATTAAATCCACGGAGTTGCGCCGTCGCAGTCGTCGGTGCCGTCATCGTCGTAACCGTCGGCGTCGGCAGCGGCGGCGTCGGCGTGTTCTTCGGCGTTGGCGTCGCCATCGCCGTCGTTGTCGGCGCCGTCGTTTTGCGAAGCGTCGTCGTCGTGGTCGTCTGCCGTGTCGTCGTCGCGGGCGGCGTCATTGTCATCGTTGTCGTCGTCGTCTGGGTTCTGTGCGGAAGGTTTGGGGGCCGTCCTACGGGCTCGTGGAGGTCTCTTAGGCTGTGTTTGCGGTGTCTCAGAAGCTCCGGCGCCGTTTCGGGCCTCTGCGGGCGTCTTCCGGAGCCGTTTCATGGCCTCTGGGATGCCCTCGTGGGCCGTCGTGGGAGCCTCTTCGAGTTCTGTTGGGCCGTCTTGGGGCGGTCTATGAAACGTCTTGGGCCGTCTTGGAGCCTCGGGATGCGAAAACTCGGACATGGCCGAAATGTACGTTTTCCCATGGGAATTTGACGATTTTGGCTTCCCGGGGCTCTGTGCGGAAGGCTTTGGGGGCCGTCTCACGGGATCTTGGAGGTCTCTAGGGCCGTGTTTGTGCTCTGTCAGAAACTCCGGGCCATTTCGGGCCTCTGCGGGTGTCTTCCGGAGCCGTGTCAGGGCCCCTGGGATGCCCTCTTGGGCCGTCGTGGGAGCCTCTTGGAGTCCTGTTTGGCCGTCTTGGGGCGGTGTATGAAGCGTCTTGGGCCGTCGTGGAGCTTTGGGATGCGAAAACGCGTACATGCCCAAAATGTACGTTTTCGCATGGGAACTTGACGATTTTGGCTTCCTGGGGCTCTGTGCGGAAGGCTTTGAGGGCCGTCGTGCAGGATCTTGGAGGTCTCTGGGACCGTGGTGGGGGTCTCTCAAGAGCTCCAGCGCCATGTCGGGCCTCTCCGGGTGTCTTCCGGAGCCGTTTCGGGGCCCCTGGGAGGCCCTCTGGGGC